GATCGCGGGCGGGCCCCCCGGCCCGCTGCGGCCTGGCCAGCCCCACTCACCCCACCCTGAGTGCCAGGAAGAGCCTGGTGCAGCCGCCAGCCTGAGTCTGCAGCAGCCACCATCCCCAAGTCTGCAGCTGCCAGCCCCTGCTGCAGCCCTGGGAGCGGCAGACGCTGCCTGCTTGCAGCCACTGGGCTCCGCCATGCTGAGGAGTCTGGGGCATAGTGCCCCAGGGGAAGCAGAGCCCCAGGGAGTTTGAGGCACGGTGCGGGCCAGACGCGGCAAGCAGGCAGGCCCCTCCCAGGGCTGCAGCAGGGGCGGGCGGCCGGCTGCAGTGGGACGAGAGCAGGTTGGGGACAGCGGCTGCTGTAGGCTTAGGCTGGCAGCGGCAGCAGGCTACTCCTGGCGCTCGGGGTGGATTGAGTGGGGCTGCCGCCCACCCCAAGAGCCATGAAAAGCCCAGTGCTGCCTCTGCTGCAGCCCCAGGAACGGGAGATGCTGCCTGCTTGCAGCCACTGGGCTGCACTGTGCCCCTCTCCGTGCCCCTTCCCTAGCCCAGCCTCACTCCCTCCCTTCCTCACTGCCCTGGGAACGCATCCCTATCTGTTTCATTGTAAACTGGGTTTGTTTTATGCTAATTTGATTTATGTGCCATTCCCTGGGAACGCATCTACTGCTAAGTCGAGGGAAACCTGTATTCACCAACATACGAGGTCAAAAAAGCTGAAAGGACCACCCAAGTGTAGGTGGTCCAGTGGGTTTGCATGGGTAAAGCAGTGCCTGAGTCTATAGCCAATGGCACACAAGAGAGCAGTGGCATACCGACAAGGAGGGCTGGGGGGCAGCCATGCCCCCAGGCACTGGCCAAGGGCAGGGGGAGATAGGTGTGGGGGAAGGGCACCAGCTGGATTCTCCAGGGGGAACTTGGTCCCCCAGCGGCAGTTCTGGTGAAACCAGAAGTGCTGCTGGTGTTTCTGGGCTTGGCAACTGCCTGCCGGGGGACCACCCTCACCCACAGTGATCAGCCGCGGATAGGAGGGAGGTGCCAGAGACCCACGGTACATCACTGCAAGGGAGGGTTGCAGAAAGCATCATATCTGGCTGCTTTTGACTCTGCAGCCCAGAAAAACAGCTACCCAATCCCAGCTGGGTCAACGCAAGGTGGCTTTACACACTTCACCTCTGTGTAAACTGATGCCTTTGGAGTCATAACCAGAGATCTGTTTTTTTCCATTTGCTGCAGAGAAACACAGATTTTCTCCTCTAAAGGAGAAAAACACATGAAACAGTGGGTTTCCCCTTGCAGGCTGTCAGAGTGCCAGCCTGCAAAGTGCAGAGAGAAAAAGAGAGAGAGAGAGAGAGAGAGAGAGAATGAGACAGGACACGGGAGGGGGGGGGGTTCACCACATGCATGTTGCAGCCAGGCTGGGTGGTGATAAGCAGCTCCTGCAACTCCCTCCGGGTAACTCTATGGGAAGGGGGGGCCCACAGAGGACATGGCAAGCTTGTGGGGGAGCACAGGCAACATGGTGGGGGACATCCCCCCCAGATTTCTGTTCCCACAGTGGGGTGTGGGGCTGCAGCCAGGCCTGACCAGCTCTGGGCAGGAGCCACCTCTGGGGCCCAGTGGGCAGGACCTGGAGCAGGAGGGAGGGCTGCATAGCCATGGCTGCCAACATGAGGCACCCCCTGCCCACCTGGCAGAGGCGGGGGGCACAACTCCATGCCACCATGCCTCGTCCTGGTGGTCATGGTGGCACCATGCTCTCTCCCATGCCGGGGCCTGCCCAGAACTGGTCTGGCCTGCCTGCAGCCCCATGCCCTGCTGAGAGTGCAGAAATCAGGGGGTCACTTGCCCCTTCCCTGATGCATTGCCTTTGCTCCCTCACCCCCTCCATGCATCACCTGTGGTCACAGCCCCCCGCTTCCCCACGCATTCATCCCTCTTCCTCACACACTGGAGGTGCAGGGGGCAGCGAGCTGGGAGTGAGGGGCACTGGCAGGGCCAGGGGGTAACAGGCCAGGAGTGAGAGGTACTGGCAGGACCAAGGGGCTGCAACTTGGAAAGTAAGAGGCAACAGCAGGCACAGGACACCGGCTTATCCGGGCTACTCAGCATCACAAAGCAGCGGGACCTCTGTCCTGGTGAGCAAAATGGGCAGAGGAGCTCTGATTTCCATGATAAAAAAAACCATAATTAAATGCCAAAATGTACAGGTGTTTAGAATGTATCTTATTATTATAATTGAGGCACTGGTAACCTTCCAAACTGCTTTAAAATATATTAGTAAACATTGTATTCAACTCACACCTAAATATATAGTAGCATTTCATTTTAATCACAGAAACGCATGGATTTTGGGCTCTCCAATCAGAAAATTTAGGGTACCCCTCCCTTTTAATCAGAGAATTTGGGATGTTGCAACAGAAAAATCCAGGATCCATGGTAATAAACCTGGGAAGAAATAACCTCAACTCAATTATACATACAGGATGCTGAATTCTGAACTAGCTGTTACAACTCAGGAAAGAGACCTTGGAGTCACTGTAGGTACCTCACTAAAAACATCAGGTCATAATGTGCAGCAGCAAGCAAAACACCAACATAATGCTGGGCATCAGTAAAAAGGGAATTGAAAACAAAGCAGAGAACCTCATCATCCCATACATGGCCATAACGTGCCCACATCTTGAATACTGTAAGTAAGTCAGGAAAACAAGATTTTGGATACTTAAGTGACCCTTGTCTGTAGAGGTGCACTGATACATCGGTCCAATAGCAGATCGGTACAGATATAAAGAAACCTGTCTATATCAGATATTGGCCCCATGAGGCCGATAATTTGGCCAATAAATGCCATGCTGTACGCAGCCACAGCGCAACACAGAGCAGAGCCGGCAGAATGGAGAGCTGCCTCCAGCTGGTAAGTCAGAATGGGAGGGAGGAGGGAAAGGGCATGGTGGGGCAAATCAATGCCCACTGTGGTGAGGGAGGGGGCAGGGGTAGGTGCTGCCCAGCCGGGGTGGGACGAGGGGAGCATGGGTCAGAGGCACGGTTCATGGGGTGGGGGCAGCTCCCACCACTACTTGCATCCTGGGAGGGCAGCGGGGGGCGCTGTGTGCCCCTGGATCTGCATGATGCAGACTGCAGCTGCAGTGTGGAGCCACAGCCAGTGCTGCAAAGGGCTTTTCTTGCCGGGGGCTGGGCTTGGAGCAGGCTCCAATGGTGCTAGGAGAAGGCTGCAGCCACCCCAGATTTTGCCACAGCTGTTCCCAGCCCTGCGCCACCACCAGCACAGCTCCGACTTTTCCCAGCACTTGGGTGGAGGTGGGGCACTCAGCCAGGGCTGCACCAGGCAGCGGTGTGGGGCTGGGAGTGGAGCTGTGGCAAAATCTGGGGTAGCTGTAGCCTCCTCCCAGCAGTGCTGGAGCCCGCTCTGAGCCCAGCCCCCAGCAAATAAAGCCCCACACAATGCTGGCTCCGGCTCCACCCCACAGCTGCAGCCCACGCCATGCATGATTTGGGGGCACACACCTCTCTGCCTCCACCCTCCCAGGATGCAAGCAGCAGCAGGAACTGACCCCACCCCATGAGCTGCACCTCTGTCCTGCGCACACCCCCCGGCTGTGCAGCACCTGCCCCAGCCCCACTCGCTGAAGGGGCGTTGATCTGCGCCCCCCCCGCCTCCGGTCCTTACCATCTGATGGCAGCTTTATCAAATATCAGATCAGTATCAGCCAATATGCCTCCTTAAATATTGGCTATTGGCATCGGCCCCCAAAATCAATGCACCCCTACCCGTCTGTTCTGTGCAATGAACGAGAGGCTCCGTGCAAGTTTTTCTCTCCAGTTTCTTTAGTTCCTGTTACCTTGTTTAGTTGTGATAACAGAAAAATTTAAAGTTCAGAATACAAAGATTTTCAGGCTGACTGTGTCCTGTTAAGATTTTCTTGAAAATATAATGGCGTTTCTATCTTTCACAAGTTTATAGTGGCAACTTTACTAGAAGACATTTTAAGGAAGGAATCTGAAAAGGAAGAATGTGGCTGATCTTCCTACCAGTGCTGTTGGGATTTTCAGGAATAAGCATAGGTGAATCGCTGGAAGGAAAAAAAAAAATATTTGCCTAGAACAAATAATAAAATAGACCCCGATCATCAACATTCTTATTGAAAAAGAAAACAAAGCTAAAAGAAGAGTTACTGATATTTCTAATATTTACCAATATACCTCCTCCTAATTAGGGCCTCAATCCTGCAAAAATAATGTATACTTAGGCAGTCCCATTGACTTCAAGGACATTACTCATTTTTGAATGTTCACCAGTTCAGAACCCTGAACTCTGGAGGCTTAATCTGGCCCCTAGTTTTTTAACATAATTTTAAGATTTACTTACCAAGATACTGTTGTTTTCCCTGAACCAGGAAGGCCTCTTAAAATTAGGAGTAATTTTTGAGACCCACACAATTTTTCCTCCGGAAACTGCTGGAAAGAAAAACTGTGTTCTCCTTTGGTTTGGTAAGTTTTAGTATCCTTCCAACAATCTTCTCTGGTTTCACTCAAACGATCATTCACAGGTATATCCTTGTCACTATATCCATTCCTGGAGACCTGAATATTATGGATATCAATATTACCAACACATCTGCAATTCTGAGCGGACAAAGGATGGTTCCAGTTAACATGACTATTATTTCCATGGTAATCAGGAAACTTCTTATGAGAAGGTTGAACATCATGAGGATGAAAAGTATTTGGTTGGTGTGGTGATGACCTAATTGTTTGAAAATCTAAATGATGGCTGAATCTAGGAGGAAGAGGACCCTGAGGTACTATGAAAGATTGTGTTGACTGCCATGCAGGCCTGCACTGAGGCACTGAAAAGTTCCAGAAGTTAGAAACCTTTTCTGGTTCAGGGTAATCCTCTTGTCCATTAGAAGGATTCTCAGTTCTCCAGCCACTTGTTTGATTGCCAAAATGTTGCTCATTGTCTATTCTCTGGCTATTTGTTTCATTTTCAAAACACTGTTCATTGCCTGTTCTCTGGCCACTTTGTTCATTACTGAAATACTGCTGGTTACCATAATGTGACTGTGTGCTAGTGTACCAGATACCTTGACCACAAGATGTCTGCTTGTAATTACGTTCTGTATATTGTTCCTGAGAAGACTGGCTTTCTGTTTCTTCCAAGTTATCTCCTAAATTATCTTTATTGGTTTCAATCTGCTGAATTTCTTCATAAAACCGGTATAATTCATCATCTATTTCTTCTTTATCACAGGAGATGGCCTTTGTTTTCTTTACCCTTTCTTCCTCAGTTCTTCTACCAAGTAATGCATTTTGCTCCCCTTCACCTGTGCTAAGTTCAGCATAATCCTTGGTTTTATCCTGCTTGTTCTCAGTTTTGTATATGGGTCCAATAAATGCTTTGCTTGTACTAAATTCCTCAATTGCCACCTCGCCATCACTTACTTCAAATGATTTATTGCTTTCTTCCTTCACACTAGATTTATCAAGATAATCAGTTTCAGAAGTGCAATTATTTTTTGTTATCTCAGCATCATTTTTTGATACATATGAAGGACTTGTGTTCTGTATGTTCTCTGAATCAGTAGATTCTATAAGCATGGGTTTATAATAAAGGGTTACTTCATTTGATAGCTCCAAATCAACTGTAGTTTCATTCTCCTGCTTTTGTGCTTCATGTTTGTCTTGGTTATCAGAGATGGATGAAGGTATCAAATCATTGGATGTTCTCTGAGTTCCTGTTTTCTCATGAGATCCTTGGAAATCATCATCACAAAGCTTAGCATAAATCTCTTCCTTTGATTTCATTTTTTTAGAATGTGGTTCAACTGTCATTTCATCTTGATACTCCAAGGGTCTTACTTTACATTCAGCATGAAACATCTTAAAGAAAGAAAAACATAAATATTAACAGTATGTAAATCTTTACACAATAACATGCAGAAACAGAACCATATCTAAGAAAACTCCCCTAATAAGGAAATTAAGGTTAGGTTTAAATTAAATTACTTTTTTCAGTAGAGTTGTAATAAAAATATATTACTGCAGAGTTTTTTGGTACTAGCAATTAACTGTCTGTGCTAAGCTAATTTTAACAGTGAATTTAGTTTTGAAGAAATAAACCAGTAATTCTGAAAACTGGAGTTTTTAAGTTATCCACAGAACAGGTTCACTGTAGACATCAGCAGCGCAATCTTAACAACAATCTGTCCAATTTTCTTCTATAGGGATCAGTCTTAATAATTGCATAGTCAAGGTTCCATGTTCAATTTACTGGAGATTTTGGTTAAGACTTACAACTGAACTAACACTTAGTCATAGTGGGAACACTTGCACGTGGTGGGAACTGCTAAGACTCAGTGGTGCTCTAACTTCCATAGTGACTAAGACTAATCCATCTAAGTGACTAAAACTAATCCATAGGCTGGATCCCATGGGCAAGGTTGGTCAAGACGCAAGATCCAGAATGGGGTCAATGCATGGTGTCAGACCATGCGTGTGATCCAACATGCTGACCCAGCCCCATGTACCAGATCCGGCTGCAATGCAACCCCACGCGCCAGATCCAGTCATGGAGTAACCCCATAAGCTGGCACATGGGGCTGTGTCAAATTTACTGGCAGGGGAGCAGTGGCAGCATTAAATACCATGGTTCTGGAAGCCCCAAAGAGCTTAGAAACCAAGAAAACAGATGGGCACACACAGAGAGCAAAAGGAAGCAATAAGACACCGTGTCTTGGCACATAAGCATCTCCAAATCATGCTACTATCAATCTTCAGTGTCAACCAGTCACCTGAGTATTAAGTTCCCATAGGGTTGTCTAATTGTCAGCTTGCAAGCTGCATATAGCCTGTGAGTAGTTAAATTGCAGTCCCTGGGCTCCCACCCAAACAACATTCCCCCCAGTGCTACAATTGTAGCAGCTACCAGGGGCTCCATATTACTCCCCACCCTCCCCCACACCTACGGTTTCCCTGCCCTGCCCTTGCCCCTATCCCAAGAAATGAAGTACAGCATGGCTTAGCTTTTAGTGCCAAGGAAACCTGTAGCCTGGGCTGCCTGAATTGCGTGATAACATGCAGAAGCTTGCAGCTGGGGAACTAAGGGTGAGTGCAGGTTCCTGGGTGCATGGTGCAGTAGCAAGGGCCTGGGGAACAACAGTAAGAGGTGCCCAAAACAGAAAGGAGGCATGGAGAGCAGCAGTGGGAGAGCATTTAGCAGAGCACGGCGATGCTGTGAACAGCAGCACGGAAGTGTGTAGCACCACAGACATTTTCATGCAATATTGCATCTTAAATAGCTTGGAAATTAACACTTCTAAATCCAGGGGACTGGTTTTTAGAAATGAAAGAAGGAACCTAGTTTGGTTTTTACAGAAAAAGAAATGAGAGGTGGTATCTTCCTGTAACCACTTTGGAATCTATTTTACTAGACTTGGAATAAACATACTGAAAAAAGTAAGCATAAAAGCAAAATAAGCTTCGGGTGGACTTTTATCCTTTTACAATAAGACCAGGTCAATATTGGCAGCACTAAATGCCTACAGATTTAAGGCACAGTCTATTACACTGTACAGAGCACAACTATGGTGTGCTGACCCTATGGTTCATTCAAAAATAGAAAAAACTTTTAATTACTTGCTAAGGCGGCTTTTAACTCTATCACATTCTACACCAGGACTCATGCCACCTGAAACAGGGCTGCTTAATGTGAACACTTTAATTTAAGAACTCTAAATTATAGGATAAAAAAAAAATCAAAATGTATATTCCTACCAGATACCCTAAGAAATACATTTTAGAAGTCTCTCTGGATAAGCCCTTAATTAATCACAGACAGTGATCCAATCCAATACTTTCCTTTATATTTAAAAGGAGATAAATATTTAAGTATTAAAGATGCCGACTTGCAGACAGATACACAAGCAGTAAGATCTTCTCAAGTTCTCCTTTTATAAGATTACTAACCTGCTCTTTTGGCCCATAAACCTACCTATCTCAAGAAGTACAAGACTACAAACATTGAGAAGCCAACACTAGACTCCAATTCACTCAGATGAGATGTGCTGTCCTCACAGGCAGGCAGTGTCCAACCCCATATACAGACAGGGGGTGTTCTTATGGAAAAAAAAAAAGAGCTAGATGATTTAAATCACTATTTGTGATCTTGCCCATTTTTTTTTAATAAGTAAGAGGAAAATAGATCCCTCCATTAGCTGAAAATGTTAAGCACAGGGCTAATGAGGAAAAAAAATAAATTGCTCCTTTCTAGTAATTTACAGCCTGTTCTATTCTCCCTGGGTGTACTTGCAGTAGTTGCACAAGGCATCAGGGTCAAACTCAAATAAAATATCTGCTTTATTCTTTTACTACGTCACACAGTTTTATTTTATCTTTTTGTATTAATATATATTGTTTAATTTTGTTTGAATTGGTAAAATGTCTAACATTATTGTAGGGGTGTAGGTTGTAGCCGTGTTGGTCTATAAGGAGCTCGGCAGACAAGGTTCCTTGGGTGAATCTGATCTTTTATTAGACCAACCCAAATAGTTGGAGGGTTTTTGAACTCGAAAGCTTGCTTAATAACTATTCTCCAACTATCTGGGTTGGTCTAACATTATTGTATGCTTTTACCAATAACCATACATCATTTTATTCTATTATATACAATTCTACTGTCCATTTTAGTGTCCTGTTTTAGCGAAAGCTGTAAATAAATTACTACTAGTACTGCTAGCATGGACCAAGGTGTGTGAAGCCTCCAGCCACTTAGAAGCTGGACAGCCCTGGATTACCTGATCAAGGATTACCTGGCATTTCACTGCATCAGAAATCTAAAAATGCAATGCAACATCCATTGCCTTAACCTTAGCTTCAAAACTAGTCTGAGAATTTCCCTGGTGTGAAGTAATGTAAACATGCAATTCAGAAAAGATGTAGCTGTCACTTTGCTTCAGACAAGATGGAAGATATGGACAATTACTACATTTCAGCTCCTGTTGGAGGATTCATTCCACTGGCTCCTATAACCTGTTAAGTCTCTGAGCTTTCTACTTAAGAGAAAGTTTGGTAATGGGATGCTAGTCAAAGAAGAAAATTAAGAAAATGAATTACATCCTTCCTTGTTTTGGAGTAGGAATAAAAGTCCCTTATCTGAAGACTTATTTCAAGGAACTTCTTGCCATCCACTTGTGTTGGGGGGAGGGGGGGGGTGATGGTACATGCTGGGAGTTACCCTCAAACCTCCTACCTACATGAGAAGAACTTGCACATGAGCATCTTTCCCCTCAAAGAAGACAAGGGGGATCCTGACATTGGCATCAGTCTCTATTACCCCGGGATGGGAGTAAGAGGGCTGGCTTTTTTTTTTTTTTAAGCCTTCCTCAGAGGCACTGGGTGTTGGCTGCAGCCAAGGCTGGGGATGTTGACTGGGCTGTGCCAATGCTCCTGCTAGGACTTGAAGCTGGAAGATGCTCCTATCTAGAGGCTCTTGCTCCTCCACTTGGGGTCACACCAATCCCTGCACTGGGGCCAGGAAGGAATTTGATGCCACAGTCAGACTGGTACAGATTGCAGGGAGCTTGGCCTCCATCTGTCGCAGGGGGCATGGCCCCAGCCCAGGATCTCTTGAGGTATGTTAGCAAACTTCATAAAAGCAGGATGGCAGCTACTGTGGTCCCCCGGCTTTACCTGCGGCAGGTTCAGATGTTGTCGTGGGGGGTACCTGGCTCGCCCGCAGTTTTACAAAGGGCCTAGACTAGGGGAAGGTTTGGCCGGGGCTGCTCCCGCCTCAGGCGGGGGCCGCCCCCCTGCCAGCCCCGGAGTCTCTCCGAAGGGCCGCCCGGCGCCTAGCCCAGACAAGGGAATTTCATCCCCTCTCCCAGGGGAGGAGGCCGCTGCCCGGGGGCATCGCAGCCCACTCACGGGCCCCAGGCAGTCTCGAGGCCTGACAGGGGCAGCAACGACTCCGCAGCAGGCGGGGGCCGCGGCTTGGTCCTTGCTGGCGGGGGCGGAGCAGCTCCCCCTCCCCCCCCGGCACCTCAGATGGGCTGGGGGGAGCCCCGCTCCCTGCAGGTCAACACATCCCTCTCGGGGGTCAGAGGCCGCGGAAAGGAACCAACCTCAGGGCACAAACACCAGCCCCAGCTGCCCGGGCCCCGCGCGCTCCCGGCACCGGGGAGGGGACGCCCTGCGCCGCCCCGCTCTCAAGATGGCGCCGCCTCTCCCCGCCCCGCGCCTCCGGCGTCCGCACAACCTCCAACTACAACTCCCAGAACCCCTTGCGGCGGAGCGAAGGGGGTGAGCGGATAGGCAGCTGGTCCGGGGGTGGGGGTGGGGCGCTGCGCCTCATAATGGGGGAGTTGGGCGGGGCAGTGAAAAGTTCCACATTAACGTGAGAGATTGTAGGCTCTGTGCTCCTCTGCATGAGGGAGGGGTTTCTTAACCTGGTATGTTTAAGTGGGCTAGGTGTGGAGTTAGACAAGCTTTCGCACGCGGGGCAGGCTTGGGCTGGTTAGGGAGCCAGGCCGGCAGAGGGTAGAGGGCTGAGGGAAGATCACGGTCTGTTGCCCAGGCAGAGA